GGAGCAACTTTAACTTGTCTTTTATGTATTGTCTATTTACGTAACTTGTATCAATATAAATAAATGTGTTTGTACTACAGTTTAATATACAATATGAGATGATGATATCAAAAGATTTGTAATTAAGGGAGTTGAAGGTAAATCTGGAAAATCATGTTCAAGTTTTACTCGAAGATTTGGTCAGTTTTTCTCATGTCAGCCTCCACAAGATTTAAAATTAATCAAAACCAAAATGGTGGTATCCACTACTTACCAGATTTAAAAAAATCATAACTTGAACGTTTCTATTAAGGCTATAAAAGTTGAATTTTTGTTTCTAAAAGCGTTGGCGGATCTGTAACTATTATATGCAAGAGATAATGATTAAAATGTTTCTATTTTGTGTCCTCTTCCCGTTGCAAAGCACGGGTACAACAGCTAGTATAAATAAATGTGTTTGTACTACAGTTTAATATACAATATGAGATGATGATAAAAAACAAATTTGGATGCGATAGTATTTTTGTTAATTTTCTAACTATTTTCTTTGACAATGTCAGTGGACTAAACAATAAACACGCTTTTAAGTTTATGCCCTCTACTACAGCTGATTATGTTTTGCCCTAGAGGGAAAAGTGACTTTAACGCATCTATTGCAACAGATTGGAAATAAGTTATTGTTAAGGACATAAAACTGTCTTAAAAAGTGTCTGAAGAAGTATTACGTTGGATGTGCAGCGGTAAATACAAATAACGGGTTGCTTTTGTGTTGTGCCACAAAGGTTTGTAAGTTTGATCAAAAGAGAAAGACACAAAGAGGGTATGACGGACTAATGACTGTTGCTTTTGCATGATGCGGTCATACAACGTACACTGTTCTGTGTCTTGGTTTGAGATCCTTACTGTCCTCATTTGTAAACAGCTGATCTTAAAATATGTGTTTACTGAATTTATAATCAAAGCCATTATGCAGTTCCAAATAATTACTCACATAAAGATTCGCATACACTAAAATCATTTGAATTCTAAAATGTGTTATCAAAATACCAAAAAAGCTATACATTTTTTAAACATTTAAAAAAAGGACGTGTGTGTTATTTTACCTCTAAGTCAATGCGCATAACATCTCTTACTCATATTGTTGTCAAAGCTACATCAATTGTTCATTTCACCTAATTAAGGTTTGTTTTTTTTCTAGTTGGTTGGTGCGTTTTTAACGTTTACTTTCGTGATATGTCTTTTTACGACTGTATTTCGTATACTTGTCATTTTTTCACGGTTAAGGTTCCAGTGTGTGTGTTTTGTCCTAAATTTGCTGTAATTCGTCCATTCTATTTTTGTTTACATTCGTGTTGTTTACATCGACACTAGCTATTCCTTTTAGCACTGTTTAGTTCGTGAGGAAAAAAAATAAATAAATACACTCGTCATATGAAAAGAGCACGCTTTCTTGACGTTGTCATATGCTTGTATTTTTTACTATTGCCGTTGAACTGTCAATGTGTACTTTGGTCCAGATAAGCTAGGGTTCGCAAACTATGAATTTACACATTGACTTTGATTCTTATATGAAATAGGTCCTTTATAGTAAACCACGTGAAACCTTAGATTTTTATTCGATTGCGACAACATATTTTTATTTGTTTTTACCACCCAACGTTCCTCTAGTAATCTCTGGGATCTCCCTACTTCCCCGTGGCGGTAACGTTCAGAAGCCTCGTCCCTGATGGGATTCCCTCGGCAAGGTTGGTACACCTGCTGGAGAGCTGGCAACACTGCAGGTGTGACTCAGGAATGCGGTCTTCTGGCGGGAACACCTAACCTAACCTTGGTCCGTTCCCGCTCAAATCTAGGTTAACGACCTGCTTTGAAATCACCGGCCTTCCGGTAGCGCGGAGGGCACAACGAAATTGAAACTCTATTGACCTTGATAATCAGTTTGATTCAGATTGTGGACCATCCTTTGACACGCAGCATTCCCGCGTAAATAGACCACGTATAAATTGCCGCGAAAATATAGGCTATATAGTGTCGGTTTCGGGGTGTTGTTGTCTGAATTGGCTAAAATTGCATATTTTTTTCCTCCATAGTTTACTTTCCTGGTATCTTTTCGGAATATCGCTTATCAAAGAGTGGTTCTGTGATTTCCCGTGGATGTGAATTTTTGTTCAGAAAGATGGCTGATAGGTAGAGAGCACAGAGGGGGAGTGAATCTAAAGTCCACAAATATTCCAAAGTAGCATGGACATCAATTTTATTTCGAAACTATGGTGGGGGAAATTTAGAATTTTAGACAGAAGTCAAATAGAGTGCCAAGAGGGCTAACTACAAAAATATTAGAGTCGAACATGGAGGTTTCCACTTATACGCATGGTGCAGTGGATTAGAGAGTGGTTTTTATGAGTGTACGTTTGTGGAGAGCCTTTTGTTGTAACATGGCTCTAGTCAGTGTTAATTGGCACTCACGTTACCGAGCCTGGCTTTACTGACTCTAGCCTTTATTTAGCTTGTAAATACGTACTATGCAATACTTTGCGTCATTTGGAAAACTGGTGTAATAGACCAATTGGTCGAAAATAAAAAGGCAATCTTGTGTTTGTGTGTTACTGTAGATTTACAACGCAGCTATATTCAACTTACTGTGCACCTATAGCAACCTTTGCCATAAATATAAGACCATAATAATAATAACCAGTATGTTTGTAATTGTTTGTGTTATTTTTTTGTGAGGAAACGGCCCAAACCCTGGATTTGTTGATGGTTACTCTCAACGTAGACTTTTTTTTTTTGCATTATCAATTAAAAATCAACACAAAATATAATCTGGGTTCAAAAACTATACGATGGACAAGTTAAGTTGACTTTGTTTAATGACTTTGTAAACATAAAGCCTTTTAAAACTTCATTTATCGTTTATAAAAACTGTCGTTGTTTATAAAAACTATCGTTACGATGAAACGAGAAACCATCTCCGCTACCGATCTTGCCACAATTCACTACGGGGGGAGTTTCGATTTCATTCGTTACTGCTTTTGATCGCGATGCTGACATCTGTAAAATCCTTGACATGAATATAAGCTGTTTCGTTGGGGTTTCAAATATCACTTCAATCTTGCACTACTTTCGATGAAGATCCCGGTTACAGTTTAACATGGTGACCTAAATCTATTTACATGGTTATTTTTTTATATATTTGTTAGAGAGAATGAAGATAATTTTATTTTCCAACTATTCACTGTGCCTTGAAGTATGAATCGTTTTGTCAATATTTTATCCAGCACTGCATAGGCTAAATAATGGAATAGAATAGATACTTGAAACTTTACTACTGCATTCAGAAAATTGCAAAATATTAAAATTGCATAACCCCTTAAACATTTGTAAACTAACAGCCTATATGTGGTGTTTCTTACTACTGATAATGCCTTCTAATGTCTACAAATTTTAATTATGTTTGCTATAATTGCCAAATAATTTTTCCTGACGGTTTAAAGAAAATGAACGCCTGCAAAGTGGCGGACGCTACTTGATAGCCTTTGATGTCTAGCGGGGTTTGCGTTGGAGTTTAGCAGGCGTTTGTTACGGTCGGGGAATTTTTATATTTTTTTGTAAATTTTACTTTTTATGGACTAATTGAAATAATGATATATTTGGTGGATCCTATGATGAAAATAATTATCCTCTACACATATTCCCTAAAATGTTATTATACATTTAAGTTATCCTATATAAAAACAGAGGTTATCAAACTTTTTATCAAGGTAAAATGTTTAAATTTTAACAGTTAAATTTACAAACAACAAAAGTGTATTTATTCTTATACGATAATTTTGAATTTTTAAAATACTACCAACAAAAAATTTAATTACATTTTAGTACTGCTACAGTATTGACAATTGTTATTATTTTTATAAGATTATTGTGCAACGAGTTTAGGTTTGATTGTAAACTAATAAATTGTCTTGTAAAATTCGTCATTATTGTAGTCAATGACACTACACTAGTACTCAAAGAGCTACAACAAACCATTTAAAATGTGTCCATTTTTAAACGATTATATCAAGTGAATCCCCCATTATGTACAAATGGCGGTAACAAAGAAGCAATTAGTGTTTTAACATTCAAGATTTCTTTTTAAGCTCTATCCAGTTGTAATGTATTGAGCTATTAGCATTGATTGTACACTAAAATATAAATGTAAGATTTTGTATATTAGTTTAGTGAATAAGCGATTGAAATGGCAAGGGGCGAGTAATAATCAGTATAACAGTGGCAGGCCCATGGAGAGGAAAAGGAGTCAATTTCCCCCTTCCAAATCTTAAAAAAACCATACAAAAATCATAAAGCCTAAGAAAATTTAATTGCACACTGCATACCTTTGCAATTATGTTTCAAAATCTCTTCTATGGGCATAGAAATTATATATATATATATATATATATATATATATTTCTGGATTCTGTACCCATTCCCCCCCAAATTTTCTCTTTGAATCCGCCCTTGAATCAGTAATAATTGCCTCTTAGTCTTATGGGGGTGACTACTTTATGTTGAAACTTTTTGATAAGAATCCAGCCAATTTCAATGTTTCAAGATTTTTATGTTTTAAGTATCCTGGCACTAATTTTGTCAAATTTTTGTTTGGACTTTCTAATATTTTTACCCTGAAAAGCTTTAAGCTACCCTCAAAGTTTTACTCCCAGTGCCATAAAGAGTTTGTGGACTAATGCTTAAATAAGTGTCAATCTTTTTGTGATATGCAATACGATCTCATTACGCTGACTGTGAATGTGAAACATTCTTAGCCAGTAGTTGTACTGTAATGCCATGAGACTGAACAGGATTAAGACCTAGAACAACCTTATTGGGCTCATCGTCCATTCAAACATTAGGATCATGTCAGAAGCCAACCCAATATCTGCCAATTTCTGTAAATTATCCACAAATAGTCCTAGTCAGGCTTATCTTTCTCCAGTCAATGCTTTCTGCTACTCGGACTCAACTGAAGTGTTTTGTTGCAGCGTCAGACCTGGACAGTATCCGTGCCTTGTTCAATGAGAAGGAGAAGGAGTTGTCAGTGGCCGTGGCCAAGGTGGAGGAGTTGACGAGACAACTGGAGGAGTTGCGGAGGGGGAGGAGGGAGAACACTCCCCCCTCTACAGCGCAGGAACTCGAAAAACTCCGGAGAGAACTCATGGTAAGTCAGGGACTCCATGGATGTTAGAACAAACAGAAGTCCAGTTTTATGTAGTTAGAAGTTTTTTTTTTTTTTAGGGGAGGAGGGAAAATGCTTGCCTTTTTATGAAACTATGGTGCAGTAACTGGGGGTGATTTATCTAAACTCCTCAAAGTGGTCTGTTAATGATTAGAAGGGGGGGGGGTTTAATGCTAGGAATCACTTTTTCATCTATATCAGAGGTGTTTTGCCAAGAGAGAAACTCAAGGAAAAGGAATTCCAACTTCTCAATTATTTTGAACCCCCTTGAATATTTGTATGCTCTTCAAAGTGCCCTTTTAACTTCACCATTTATTGAAGAAACATTTTTTCATCCATGTCTGATGTGATTTATTTAGAGAAGAGAATATCAAACACTTTAAGTATAAACCATTTAAAATTTTCAAATGATATTGACCTGATAAATGTTTTGAACCCCTTAATTTTCTGCTTTTTTAACCAAGCTTTCATTTAGGGAACACTTTGTTAGCAATATGAGTTAAAAACCTGGTAAAGAAATAATATAAGATGTAATTGGTATTAAAAATCATGCTGCTTTCGAAACACATGATCTTGTTGCAAAGCTACACAGATCATCCATATTCTTGTCCATCATTCACATTCAGCTTAAAATATTTTCCTAGTTATGCATTGTAGCAGGATTTAAAACCTGCAAGTTTAGCTAACATTTAAGAAGGGACATAATATTATCACTAAAGCTATCGTTACTTTGGTGTTGAGATAGTTTCTACCATCGGTATCACAGTAAATTTATTCCTTGAAACAATAACACTCATTAAACAAAAACAATAACCATACGTTTGTTCACAGTACCGGAACAAACTGAACGATCAGCAGAACGCAAGGTTAACTCAACAGAAAGAAGCTTTATCACAGAGGCAGGAGGAGATGGAGTCGATAGACAAGAGAATCTCGGAACTTCAGGATCGGCTTCACCGCAAGCGACTTCTCAACCAGCAACTGGCCAATCAGATCACAGCAGCGAGCAACAAGGCCAATACCACACATCAGCAACGACTGAGGTAAGCTTAGTCAACTTTGTGTCAGCAAACTTTGAGTTTAGAATAGTCATTGCTATACTATGGCGTATATCAAACTATCTAGAATCTGAACATTTAAATCCATTTACAGCCGTAAAACCTAACCTACGAAATATATGTCTTTGTATGTTAGACACAAAAACACACTTGGGGTGGAGACGTTGTGCAAAGGGCTGTTTTTAAAGAGAGGACTATTTCAACTGTCCTCCATGAAAAATCTATTTCAGATCCATATTTGACAGCAATTAATATTTTTACGAAAGTTATTTTTATATTGCAAATGGGAAAAAGTTTGTTAACGCAATCAAGATGCACTGATTAAGAAAAACATTTTAAATGCAAGCCGAGACAGCTTATAGAGAAAACTACCTCTATAGCAAGCCGAGTAACACAGTTGTGCACAGGAATCTACCAAACATAAGTTTAAGTTAATTTTAGAGGCCGTTTACTATGTAGGTATTTACTCCTTTAATTGCCTTTTATAACATTTTGTTCTAAGGAAACCGTCCAATCCTTAGAATCTCTATTTGCTGCTAGTAAATTTGTCATTGTATTGTAAAAATCTGAAGGCTGAAAGCACCATCGTCCATCTGTTTAAACAAAAACTGAAAAGGTAACATATTACACCATCATACACTTAAGCAATGTAAGTAGTATTATTTTTGCCTCCATCAACCGCCATTAAAAAAAGGAAAAGAATATAGAAATTCAATACTACTACACTCAATAAGAGGCTTATTCCTTAATGTTATCTTTCAGTAAAAATGTGACTACAGCGGACCATAATAGATGCAATGTTTACTACAGTAAATTATTTTTAGTGAAGCATCTCTTTAATATTCAAGTTTTCAGTTAGTACAATCATATATGAGTTTTTCAAACTATTAAAATTTCTCTTCTCCCTACGTGTATTGCTTGATGGTTTCACATAGGCTTAGCTAATGTTTTTGGTTTTAATGTGACTGATGTTTATGCAGAAGTACGTTGTCAACATCTGCCATTCAACATCACCAGCAGCAGCAGTATCAGCAGCAACCAGGCAACAAGCAGTTGCTGAGGCCACTGACTGCTGGCAACATAGCAGCCATCGAGCCGTACCACCACGTCCCCTCTGACACCCAGGAGCACGTGAGACAACCGCTACGTCCAGAAAAACCGGAGCGGAGAAGTCACCACTTGGAGGTGGTAAACGATCAAATATACAACCACGAGAGGTTAACAGGGTCGCAGGACGATTTCAACATGAAGTCATCGCACAAGAACCAAAACTCACCGGTGGACGACAACTACAAAGTGAAAGAAGAGGAAAACCTTCCGGAGTTCGGTGCGAGTAAAACGGACCCTAAATATCAAACGTTGCCTTACAATACAAAGTTTACGGTAAACTATGTTACGCATCCCCTGACCGGTGTGAAACTAAGGAGACTTCAGGGGGAGGGAGGGGAGAGGGAGACCGTTTGTGATTCGGAGTTGGTGAAGAACAACAACAACAGTAACCATGTGAACAACAACATGATGAGTGTAGTGCATAGTATTCCCATACCACCTGGAGTCAACAAGGGTCTAGCGACGCCGTTGGCCAACCAGAAACTCTCTCTGTCTCCTTCTATGATGTCTTCTTCTTCTTCTACTTCATCCACCTCGTCGTTGTCTGTGTTGGGGAACCTGGGTCCAAGGTAAATAGATTCTTAGTATGCTCACTCATGTAATGTTAATGATAATGGGTTAGCTTGAATACACAACCTAAATGAAGCGGAAATAACTTGGAATAGTGAGGTAGATAAAGCTTTGTTAGGGAAGACCAATGTTTCTGAAAATAAAATTTAATTGACACAGGCTAGGGATATTTTAAATTATATATTCAGCAACAAGAGCGTTGGACAACGCTCACCCAACTACAACATCCCAAATACCCGCAAAAAACCAAACAACTTCCAAAAACCACCATGCCTAGCCTATAGCCCAACGATCACCCAAAACCATACAACCTGATCCTTACCAAAGGCTGTGACAGGTAGCTTTGTATTGCACATTGTTGGTAACACACTTGGCGCCTGTCAATCCTGACCTACCCAACTTGCAGAATTCTCCAAACCCCTCGAAGACCAAAGTTCTAGAACACTCCTGTAGGCTCATCACCCATTACGTCATGGTTTCATGCTATATTGAGTTGTATTGCTCATAGTAACAACCATGTGTTCTAACTCCTGATGACTTTCCAGGGTGTACAACACAAGTAATGTCGGGGCCTCTCTCCTAGCCAGAGGACAGCCTGTAGGAAACTCTTCCCCCACCTCCTCCGTAGCCACCAATAGCAGCTCTAGTTCCACATCCAGTCACCAGGTACTGTATCATAACATAACCAGTGTACCGTTTAAAGCTGCTTTCAAGATCTGTGAATATTTTCTAGTTTATTTAAACTCGATAAACACTTTAATAATGCAACGAGGTTTTTTTGTAGGACCATGTTATGTGGTACGGTAACCAACCGGCGGGTGGAAAACTCTTAAAGAGTAGCCGATAACCCAAATCCATATTTACACTTTTATTTAATTTTTATACATTTGCATTCTTGTTAGTTTATGATAATAAGCTATTGTATGGCCCCAATTCAAAATTCGTGTTTATAAAGGTTTTTATTTTATGTGGCTTCACTTCCCTTTGACACTCACTAATCTCAAGTAGGACATTATCATGCCTTTGATCAAACTTGTTTGTTATGCTCTACTTCGAGGGTATTGAATTAATATTCAAAACTTTGTTAGCACTAGACAGTGTGAATTTAGCTAATCAGAACTTTTAATTGAAAATGCACAAATTTTTACACTATATTATATTCTGCAATATCACACTGGAATGTTTTTGGTATATGTGTGTGTAAAAACGTAACCATGGCATATTTTATAAGAGATGGTCTAGGCATTTGAATGTTAACAGACATAGTTAACACTTCAAAAGGGTGAACAATGATTTTCGAATGTGAATGTCTTTGACATTCCATGCGATATTTATGTGCCAAAATAAGTAGTTAAAGAGCTGCTTTTAATGATGTGAATTAAGTCAGTTTTCCACATTTGATAAGTTTACCTAAGTAGTTTTAAGAAAGTTTAAGAGTGACACTAACCTAGCCCAATATCTGGATTAACATTGTCCACTAACATTTTACATTTTTATTCCATCCTTGTTATTTTATTGGAAAAAGCTTTCTTTAAATATTATACTCATTCACACGAGCATAAGTCAATAACTTAAACAATCTCTTTAACATTTCATTCTCTGTAATTTTACACAAAGTTGTACTATTTCTCCTTCCCTATATGCTTATTCTCTCTTTCATCATCCAACTCAACCTTTTTTGCTGATTCCCTCTTCCACCATCTTACTCAGCCCTTTTGAGGATTCTCTCTTCCTCCATCCTACTCCACCTTTTCCTAAATATCTTCTGAGCTCCTTCCAACAACCTCTGATTTTCCCTGATAAAAATCTTCCTATAAATTGGTGTAAATACCTGTATCAATATGATCCTTTACTATATTCCTTCTACTCATGACTGCCTTTTCTTAACTTCTTCTCCTACTACCCAACTTCATCTATAATCTTTTGAGTTCAATTGCAGTAAGTCTTGTCTTACTATCAAAAGCATGCTTTCTTCCACAGACTATGGTTCCATTCACCAAACCCAACTCCTCTCATTCTGCTAATGTAAATAACGCTTCCTCTTCATCTTCAAATTCTGTCCCGATGGTAACGGGCTTCGTATTGCCACCAACTTCCTTATCTGAACAATTCCAGGTGAGTTGGAATCTGAATAGGCTGTAGCATCTTGGTCAGTCACGGATTCTTTCTTTAACTTTCACTTTGGATCGTAGTTTTGATTTTTTTGTAATATATTTTCATTTTGTTTTAGTTCGGTCATTATGCACCTCTCATGTCATTTGGCAGCTTGTTTGAAATGTATTCTGCTTAAAAAAAAGTAATTGATTTAGTTGTTATGTTACAAAAAACTTACATTTTGTATATTGTGACACTAGAAAGTAAATGCTATTCTTACCTAGGTACTTATAAAGTTTTTTTTGCACATTGTATACTACATAAATAAGTAGAATCCTTCCTCGATATTTTAGGTTACATATTTAGTATTTTGATTGCAGAAATTACATAAATAACATTCTTTTTAGCCAATCTTTTACTATATTGTCATCAAACTTTACTTGTCATATTGGTAAACTCTCGTAGTAATTTTTTATAATTTAACAATCAACTAAAGATATACATAATTTAATTTCTATTGGTGGTTGCTCCTGGGGTGGGGGTGTATTCTCCCCCAGAAAGCTAAGGAAATAATTTTAAAACGGTATTTGTACGAACATTTTATTTTATATTAAAAAACACATACTTATGGCCAGTAGGCCTGCGGTTTGGATGTCCTGCGCAATGTCCCCCGAGAGATAATTGTGCCCCTCCCCACCTACATCGTGAGGGGATTTTTCTCATCCTTGCACCCCCAACAACCCAAAAAACCTCTTGCGCCTCTGGGCCTATTTATAAAAGTGGTTCTGATAGCCAGAATATCAGGAATTCATATCTTCAATTATTAAATGTCAGCCTTCTGAAATATCTAGCCTACCAGTTAGGGAGGAGGGGGTATGCACAGTATTCAAACTGCCAGGCAATGCCATACCCCTAAGAATCCACCTCTAATTTCAATATTTTTAAAAACTTTATACTTATAAATTTAATTTTCCCTAACACATTCTCTAACAATTTTCACAACTCCTCTGTTGTATGTGAACGTAAAAATTTGATGAACATACATATTTAGCTATTCATTCAATTTAACTGTTAAAATGGTAGAGTTTTTTTTTTTATGTGTTCCTGACTTGTTTCAGAAGCCCGTGAGCAGTGTAGGCCCAAATACTGTACAGCTACCTTCACCTATCTACCAAACCTCGTCCACCAAAATACATCCTGTACAGCCTCAGACACTAAGCTCCACACCACAGGTACAATACAACAATACAGTTATAGATTTACAACACAAGCTTCAAGCTTACAACACAAGGTAGTTTATAAGGGTAAGGTGTGAAGCAATACAGATTAGGATTTAAAAAGGTTTTTTTTTAATGTGAGTGATCTAGACAAGGAGTAGACATGTACCAACCATCCAACGAATCACCTAGAACAACTGCACGAGCCACTGACAAGCTGTTCTCACAATGGTTATTAATACAAGCCACTGATCAAGGTCACAAGGGATATTCAACGAACCTCGTGTTGTGAGAACAAGGCTTTAAAAGTACATATCAACATGCCAGCTGTAAATTAAAAGGCCTATATTGATCCATGTTAACAACCAACATTTCCAAAACCCAGTTCTAGAGAATCAACCATAGTATCTAAATAAGTTGATTTATAAGTATAACAAGTCGTTTTTTTAGGGTATTCTTCGGGACCAAAAAGAAGAGTTGCCTTTATCTCAACCCAGTGAACCGCCAGATTCCCCGCTGAAGCCAGCGTTGCCTCCAAAGCCTGCACTGCCTGTGAAGCCCACACCTCCGCCACCGCCCCGCCAGGCTCACTGGGCGGGGGAAGAGGAGGACAAGCGACCCCGACCTGTGGACACGTCCTCGGAGGCTGTGGACACTGCTCTCACTGTACTCAGAGGCGCTGCACTCACCTCCAGGTATAAATAATAAGTATAAGAAACCATGAATAAACATAAAACAAAACATAATAGAAGAAAATAGTAAAAGAAACAAAAATTAACTAACCAAATCAATCTTGTAAACATTTTCTATGTAGTAACCACTTTAGACAGGTGGCTTGGAAGTGAGACGCTATGGGCCTGAAAAATATTTTTCCTACAGTCACCCGACAAAGTTGGCTTCCTTATACTGTTTATAGTACAGAAAGCTGCAAATTGCTGCATATTTATACTTTGCCGTACGGTTTATACTTTGCCGTACGGTTTATACTTTGCCGCACATCAGGATTCCAACGAAACAACACAAAACAGCGTGGTTTTATTATGCACGTAATCCGTGTACGCTTGGAAATAGGTTGGCAACACTTAAAGATAAAAATACTATGAGCTGCTGATTGACTATTATAACTTATAACTACGATTTAACCTGTCATTTCGTGTTTATAGTTTCGGTATTTCTGAACTTTCTGGACTTTTCTTTTAAACGTTTTTAAAACATTCCTACGATCTTAATAAACAAGAAAATACCTTTAAAGCATTTTTTTAGGCGCGGAAACCACTTCAAATTAGAAAAACATACGGAACTATATTCTCAAAACGCGGAGCACATTTCTTGCCGAGGAAAAATAGCGGAGTGATACGGACCGCGGGTACTACTTCCTCTAGGGCACCATTTGTGTCGCCAGCTGAACCTAAAAACGTGTTGTATAGTGTTTGGAAGACTAATTATTTATATGCTTTATAGTGACTGTAGGAAAAATATAATGTGTAACACGAGTGAAAAAAGGCCTTTGCTGCACTCGAGATCATTCCGCACTCGCCTGCGGCTCGTGCGTAAACATTGCTCTCGTGTGCAGCAAAGTGCCACTTTCACCACTAGTTACACAAATAACTATATGCTCCCATTGCCCCTTACTTGCAACTGCAACAGACCGAAAACCTCTTGTAGCCCTGACTCTATATAGTGTAAAGTAGACATACCAAACTTCCTATTCTACAGTAAGTTAAAGCTATCTTTAGCATTGACTTCAAGCATAGCTTATTAATTGAAGTAGACCTTATATAGTCAAAGTATTCATGAATTATATTATTTTTGCTACAGTAGTGTTGTATATCTGTAACTATTTTTCTCTGTATATGCACCAATAAATCATTCTCATTCACATATCTTCTAACCACTAAAAGTCATATACAGACTTTGACATATAGATGAGAAGGTGTTAAGGTCTCTGCCTAGGAACGTTGTATACATTTTAATACCATTATGTACCTTAGTTTCAGGTATGTTAGCAGTTAATAGAAAGATAAACCATGTACTTGTAAATGTTCTGGAATTACTAATTTCAACGTTGTTTTTAGGGGGAACGACTACCCATCTCAGAAGCCCCACCCATACCAAACACAACCTCCTCAACCGGCCAGTGCTACTCTGGTAGTGTCCGATCCCCTCCCTCCCCCACCACCTACCACTGAACCTCCTATTGACGACCTTCCTAAGAGGCCACAAGACCAAATAATCAAGGCTCGACCCCTCACGATACGAAAACAACCTCCCTCTGAAATCCCGAGGTTAAGAAACGGAAGTTTGCCTGTGAATCAAGGATCCGAAGTCAAGAGTACAAAAGAAGAAGGCGATGGTGAGTAGTAAAATGTTTGTGTTTGAGTGATTTTGAGAAATTATTGTTTATTCACAATTGAAACAACATTAGAGTTGAACAATCGCTTGCCTATATGCCCTCAAACCATGCCAGAAGAACCCAGAACTTATTTCAATGAGTGATGAAAACGGTTACGGTACATACAAAAATATAATATAAATACCTCGTCACAGCTCTGTAGTTTCTGTAGATTACAGCTGTTTCGGCATTAAAATGCCATCATCAGATACACACATCCACCTGAATTGGCGTCGTTAAACTGTACATAAACACGAACACGATAAAAACACAAAAACACGTAAAAGAAGAGACAGGCCTGTCGCGTACATGATTGCTCCGAGTACGGAAGTGGGTCAGCTTCTGTACTCGTAACAATCATGTACGCGACAGGCCTGTCTCTTGTTTTACGTGTTTTTGTGTTTTTATCGTGTTCGTGTTTATGTACAGTTTAACGACGCCAATTCAGGTGGATGTGTGTATCTGATGATGGCATTTTAATGCCGAAACAGCTGTAATCTACAGAAACTACAGAGCTGTGACGAGGTATTTATATTATATTAGTCATCAATTCAGCTCAGGGGCTAAACCATGTCTATTGATACATACAAAAAATTCAGTTTTATTTCATAATAAGATTGTTTTTAAGAATAGTAAAAAATACTTTCAAACAGCATATTATATTCTCTATATTTTAAGATAGTATGGGCATAATAAAATTAGTTCATCAATACAGTAATGTAAAATAAATAATCTCACAATTAGGAATAAAAAGTGCTTTTGCTTGGGTACTATATTTTCGATTTTTTCACAGCTCATTTTTTGTGGAGAAGGTTGGGGTAACCAAACCCAGATATTTAGACCTGTTGATCCTATAGCACCTTTATTCTCAATCTGACAGTATCTCTTAAATCCTAACAGCAATAGAAAACTCATTTCCCCAGACAAGTCATTGCAAGGCATGCCAAATAAAAAAAAAAATGTTGTTTCAGTGAGTGAAAACCTCTACTCTGTAGAGACTAGTGGGTACAGTTCCAACAGAAGGATAGAGATGCCACCAGCTTTCTTGTTCCCCGAGACGGAGGCGCCCCCGGCAGATCTGGTCTCGAGCTCCTCGGAGTCAACGGACCAAGTGGATCGTGTTGCTCCTCCGAGTCCAGAGGATATCCACAACGAGGACAGCCATCACAGCGATAAAAGCTCGGAGGGCAGCACGGATGTCGAGACTAGGAACAGCCTCAATAAGGAACAAACCGGTAGGTTATATGACACAATGTTACCTCAATCACTGAGTAGTTCATCGTGGTAGCTTTAAAGTCTGAAGGTTATTGTTTTAGCAGGGTTGATTGTGGATCTAAATGCTATTTGTCATTTGGATACCAGTTGATGACGTTTTCTAACAATTAGTGGATGTTAGTGTAACTACAAAATGTTTAGACAGTTGCCTTATTAAAAGCGTAAAAAAATTACGATGGTATAGAAAACACAAGAAATAAAACACAGTAGTATTTCTCTTTTAAACATTGTCTGCATTTTGGATTTCAGCTGTTTTAGGCTGGATATAGTTATAGTGCTCGCCTGTCATTCAAAAGGTCTTTGGCTTGATCCTGACTCCTGAGAAGTCAGCTATTTGATAGTTTGAAACCGGGCCCGAATAACCGAATAAATAATACATTTTTCTGGCTAAACAAACATCTAACAAAAGCAACACAAGGCGCCTCTCTCTATTCTACACTAGACTTATCCTTCATTCATATTTGGGTTAAAATATGCCTAATTTCCCTTTGGTCAAAGCTAAGTTTACCACATAGAACTAAAACAACATAATTTTGGTTGCCCAGATAGAAATACAACTGAAATTGAAATAATCTGCAAACTAAATAAGAAGGCATAAACAAAAGGTTGAGTGAACACATTCACTTTTCACATAGTAGACAAAGGAGGTAAAACGACACTAATTAATCTCCAACAGTGTTGACCTAACTATAAAGTATGCATACCAAAGTATGAAAAATATAAAGAAAATGTTGCTACTTAATCTCGTATAATACGCTATTCAACTGCTCCGATATATTCCAGGGGAGGTCGTGATGAGGAGAGCAAAGAAGGGTAACCTGAAGGGAGGTAATGGAGGACACAAGCAAGTTACCAGGAGAGTGTCCTTCGATCCTCTAGCCCTGCTGTTGGACGCTTCATTGGAGGGGGAACTTGAGCTAGTAGTGCGGACTGCTGGACAGGTAAATTAATATATCAGTATGTGTTACTTTTATATATTATTAGTTTTTTTGCAAGCCGGTCTAGTTTCTGTTGAGCCAAAGTCTTCAAGGTTCGAGATTCAAATCCTGCCCACCAATGGAGCTATGTGATGGTGCTCTGACCCTCTAGGCCTAGGACGTCACTCAATACAATATTACCTAAGTAATATCAACTCATTAGGCAATTTCTTTCTGTCCAAATTTAAGTGTTTATCATTTTTACCTAATAATAAAAAAAATTGTGAGGTAAACTATAACGTGATTAACTGTTTGTATTACCCAGGTGCGAGACCCAAGTGCGGCGAATGACGAAGGCATCACAGCACTTCACAACGCCATCTGTGCCGGTCACCTGGACATTGTGAGGTTCCTGGTGCAGTTCGGCTGTGATGTCAACGCTCAAGACAGCGACGGATGGTACATAGTTTTAGATCTTGTGTGTTAGATTTATTTTGAATCATTCATGTTTGTTTAGAGCTGGATCTACACGAAATACTGTGTTGGTTTTGGTTGAGATTTGTCCCTGACCTAATATGCCATCAATACAATATTAGGCCAGGGACAAATCTCCAAACCAACACAGACTACACAGAACAAGTAAAACCCCTACATACATGGGAACAACTCTTTATAACACTCTTCATCAAAACATAAAATCGATAAACGAAACAAAAAAATTCATCACTAGCCTTAAAAAATACCTCCTGAACAAGCCATACTACAGTTTAAAGGACCACAATAATGTAACACACTTCTAAAATAAATAAAACACACACACTCACACATTTAACACCACACATAAATACAACAAACCCCCTTCAAGAAATTGACAACTCTCCGGTCTCCACGACTGTGAAGAGGAGCGCCGATGTAAGATGTACTCACATAATGATCAAGTACAGTCAGTCTAGATATAGGATAGCCTATCTTAACATTAAATTACTTTTTAATCTGATCCTATAGAACCCAAATCAGTCTTGATTTACTGTACTTCATATTTTTAGTTTTGCCACACCACTCACACCAATTCTGCAAACTTTGATATTTTTTTAAAATGGTATCTGACTGACCTCCTGAAAGTAAATTGAACATTTATAACTATAGAAGTGTGATATTTCAAGGACATACACACTTAACTTGAAGAATTTTTTACAGATTTCTTTAGGGAGCTTTTAAGTTCCATTAAGTCTTTTGGTTTAGACTCCAGGAAATATATTTACAGCATCCTTGATTTAGCTGATAAAAGTACTTACACAAATTATCAAGCTTTGTAACTTAACGTAATCTTGTGCAGGACACCTCTGCACTGCGCTGCTTCATGCAACAACCTGGCAATGGTTCGGTTCCTGGTGGAACACGGCGCTTGCATCTTCGCCACAACCCTCAGCGACCATGAAACTGCGGCCGAAAAGTGTGAAGAAGACGAAGAGGGCTTCGACGGCTGCTCTGAATACCTTTACAGTCAGTATTGCTTATTAGATATTTGTTTAAATTCTTACTTTTTTGTAATATAATTTGCGCTCTCCATAGCATCAGTTAAAACAACTGTTATGTTATGTTTTAAGATAACAGGTGGATGATATAAATGGTTTTTCTGCAATCACGGGAGACGATAATGAAGTCATCGGCAGATGATCACAATTTTGTGAGACCACAAAATATGTTTAAAATTCTTCTGTGACCTTGGAAAGATATTCGTGACTTCATTGTGATTGCGGGAGATTATATACATAATTGTTTAAACTAAATATGGTATAAAAATAGTAGTTTACACAATTTACAATTATTTACACAATTGTGTAAAGATAGTGTTAACGACACACGTAGAATATAGAAACTTCTACGAGTGTCGTTAACACTATTTACGACCCTCTAATTTTTAAATTTCATTTCTTTAATTTTAATTTTTAATTAATTTCTTTCAATCTTCTGTGATTGTGGCACTTTCTGATCATCCCTTGCGGCCGTGTGTTGGCATATTATCGTCTCCCTCGGTCACAGAAACGTCACTGTTGTCATGCGCAATCACGCAAAATTGAAACCTCCAGGTAGAAATACAAAATGCATACATAATTCCTGGTTCAAAAACTCCCGCATAGTTCCCAAATTCCCCGGTTTTCCCAGTCGGTGGACACCCGGTTATATATTACAAAGGGGCGCTACTATTAGTTAGTTGTGGCTATGGCCCTAACAGGGTCGAAAACGGGCCTGTCCGAGGCCAGAGACCCCAAGCAAAAGTTTTTACCCTGCTTGACCCGAATTGAAAAAGTCTTGTCTGCAGATCCCCTAAACATGTTATCTCACTGCAAAGTTCTTTAACAACATGTTTTTATTTTAACGTAAAGTTTTGAATACATGGGCTTGGAGATCACTTGAAAAGTATGCTTTGGAACTTTTCACATATGTTTCATGCATTTACAATTTTGTTTATAAGTTTTAGTGATTATAACTAAGTGATTCAACTAACCATTTTAATTTTTATCATAGGTGTCCAAGAGAAGTTGGGTATTCTCAATAATGGAGCTGTATACGCGGTGTTTGATTACGAGGCTCACAACACGGACGAGCTGAGCTTCAAGGAGGGGGAGAGGATGATTGTACTGAGGAAGGGAGACGAGTGGGAGAGAGAGTGGTGGTGGGCTCGACTGAGCGACAGAGAAGGATACATACCTCGCAATCTGTTGGGGGTAAGTGATAATATCACTCATGGCAAAGTGCGGAAACACTATGTAAAGTATCTGTTCTCTGAAAATATCCACCACTGATGGTTAGACATCAAGTCTGTAGTTGGTTGCCAAATTAGCTACATGAGAAAAAGTAATAAAAATAAATATGTGAAGATGTTCCACTGGTGCATTGATTCCACTAACAGAACATAATGTAGAGACGCACCAGTCTGACATCTTACTGTAACTTTACCTATAGGACAAGCTTAATTCAAAATAAATAGCCTACAGATGAAGTTATAAAAAATAAATGCGCTTTATGTCATCATAAAAATTGTTTCCAATCAATGAGGGAGAAAGTGTTGGTACTTTGAGAAAGAACAGAATGCTAATACTGCTAATCCACCTGATTTGTGTTGCTACCTTTAATTAGACCATAGACAAAAAGAATAGTGCTGCGGTTAGCTGTTGTTTTGGCGTCCACTGCTAGGAGTGCCGTGTAGTTAAATAAAATCAGAATTAAATAGCGAGGAGCCGATGACTTCAGCGAATCGAACACTGAGCACGCTCTAGTAGCACATTGTGGAACCTTCCTTTGACAGTCTATATTTATTCTTTTTGTCAATGATTAGACCCTGTATCGATTGTTCCACTATTACCAAACTTTTTCATAAATTAAAAATGTTTGTGCTATTCTTTGGAAAGGAGCTAGGTTTTTAACAGGATTTAGAACTGCTCTTCTTAAGTAATACAATTTAGGCTTGAAGCTTATTACACTAATTCAGTTTTCGATGATAGTTTTCATAAAGTACGATGACTTTTTTAACTGTATTTATTTAGTGTACTGCTTGTTTTATAAACTAACAAACTTTGTTTTTCAGCTCTATCCAAGAGTACACGCCAACAAGAACGTGGATTGATGCTTTATGAAGACGAACGTCAGAATGTCTTATCTTGCCAGACTTATCGTTAGTCACGGAGACGGTCAACTTTTTCGCTAATGAAATCACCTTGAATTTACAACTTTTATCTTTTTCATTTTTCCAATCAATACCGCAAGTGATTTGTTGAGTTTTAATGTTTAAATGTGATTACGTCTAGTTTGTGTTAGAGTTAGAAATTTATTTTCATTTATTGAACAAGCGATGAATCGTAACTTTCTGTTATTGCCACTTGTACAAGTAAAAACTACTTGGATGGATTTTTTGCACTTGTATTTGTGACTCTTTACACTGAATTCAAGTTTTTGCAAATTTTAGACACATTAGGTGTATCAGGTTCTAGTTGATATTTTCAGTCAACTGTAAACCACATCGTTTTGGTCACATAAAAAATAAGTTGGAGACATTGCAGTGGCCTTGAAATATTGATTGTTTCACGTTTTCTGTAGTGTTTAATTTTGTCCCTGGAGGCCTTATTTTATATCAGAGGGCCGCTTTAGTACCTGTTGTCTCACTATTTATTTACACCTAATATTACAAAACACATATTTTACTAGAGCTTATGATGCCGAACGCAGGCAGCACTAACTATAAAACGTTTCACGATGGCTACGAATGTGTATATAAATAACTATATAACTCTGTATTATATTTAAATAATGACTAGACCAAATTTTAAATATTGTATTTTATAAATGATAAAGTTTGTATAATTTGTTATAATTTTGTATATTGTAAAAACCAAAAATGAAAGTATTGTATATCAAATTACCTAAGAAACAAATGTGCCTTTAATTACACATATGAGATAGATATTTGAATGTAATCCTTTATATTGTTATAATATGTGTAAACTATTTTAAATAAGAGGAAACTATTACGTTGTGATCAAAATCAAAGATCTAGCATCGCCAGATAAAGGTTTAGGTCTGTAAAGAATGAAATAAATATATTGTACATTTTGTTGATGCTTATGCACATATTTATTTGTTTTATTTTCCCTTTTTAATTTGTTTTGGAATTATATACAGGGTGAATTTTAAATGAGTTCCCCCCCTACTTTTTTCTACATTTCTTAAGATATCATCTCCGGACCACGTCAGATCATTGTTGAGTAGTAAGTACTTCATTTTGACTGGGTATACATTTTTGGCCGCCATCTTGGATCCGCCATATTGGATACAAAGTTTTTTTTCAAATGTAAAGGTAGGGTTGTGGCCCATTATTTCAAACTAGAATTGTACGCTGATTACAATGCCGCAATTAGTTTTTAAAAATCTTGATCCGTTCTAAAGTTATGAGAACTTTTTATAACTTTATTTTTAGCACATTTTAACATTGTGCATTTACAAACTAAGACCATAATCTCAAAATAGTGCTAGATAAAGATAAGTATACACCACCATTCATTGTCGACACATTTTCACTTGGTTATGACGGATGTAGTTTTTTCAGCCGCCATCTTGGATCCGCCATTTTGAAATGTGATCAATTAATTTAAATATGAAGGTGGTGTTGTGACCCATCATTTTGAGTTACTTTTTTATACTGAACTCAATGCCGCAATCCGTTTTTCATTTGCATCTTTGGATTTTGAAATATTGTAATTTTAAATAAGAGATTTTTAATATTTCATCAAGAAAGCTTGATAACCAAAAAAGGATTTTGGCATTGAGTCCAGTATAAAAAAGTAGTTCAAAATGATGGGTCACAACACCACCTTCATATTTAAATTAATTGATCACATTTCAAAATGGCGGATCCAAGATGGTGGCTGAAAAAACTACATCCGTCATAACCAAGTGAAAATATGTCGACAATGAATGGTGGTGTATACTTATCTTTATCTAGCACTATTTTGAGATTATGGTCTTAGTTTGTTAATGCACAATGTTAAAATGGGCTAAACAATAAAGTTATAAAAAGTCCTCATAACTTTAGAACGGATCAAGATTTTTAAAAACTAATTGCAGCATTGTAATCAGCGTAAAATTCTAGTTTGAAATAATGGGTCACAACCCTACCTTTACATTTGAAAAAAAAACTTTGTATCCAATATGGCGGATCCAAGATGGCGGCCAAGATTGTATACCCAGTCAAAATGAAGTACTTACTACTCAACAATGATCTGACGTAGTCCGGAGATGATATCTTAAGAAATGTAGAAAAAAGTAGGGGGGGAACTCATTTAAAATTCACCCTGTAGAATGATAGCAGCTAATCAGTTTGATCATTTACATGTTATAGACTTTAATATAAAATGTTTTGAGTAATTCATAAGAGTCTCTCTACTTGTACTTTTATACATAAGTTGACACTTCTTTTAAATATACAAAAGAAAGACATTAATATTTCCAATAAATAATGCATATTATGTTATATCTCTAGAGGCAAGTCTAAAGTTGTCGACCATAAGGTAGTTATTAATTTTGGGGATAGTGAAAAATAAAGTATCCTAAGATCAGGGAGGAGTTTGAAAGCAGTGGTCAATATTTTGGTTAAAGTTTGCATACAAACTCACATGTTAGTCTTCTGAATTTCAAGGCACTTTGACGTTTAGTCAAAAAGATATTGAGTCAAGAAGTTATTCTGATCTCTAAAAGTCACCTGATTTCTTAAGGTCTAATTGCTAGGTGCCCACTAAGTTTGACAGTTCTCTCTTCTGCTATAAGGACATTGCTCTGAAGTATTTAATTAACTTTTTCAGGACGCTTATCACTTAAAGTCTATTCCTTCCAGAGTTCAATAATCTATATGGCGTTAAAAAAATCTCCAAAGAATCCGCCGGCTCTCAAAATTTCATTTCTTATGGAAGCAGTATTTGACACATAAACAAAGGGAAAAGATCAGCTGTCGACTTAAAGGAATGATTGTAACTGTTATCACGGACATTAGAACAGAAACTGTATGGATCATAAACATAAACAAATTATGTCACTAGCTCGAATCAATAATAAAAAAACATATGGTTTGGATGTTTTTTGACAGTTTGATTTAAAATAATAATACGAGGCATGTTTTTTAAGTAAGTGCTGTTTTTAAATTTCTCCATTCCAGCGCTGCGATTGGCATTTTGGACATTTGTACTGTGTATGTGCATCTATTGGCAAGCCTGCACTGGAAATTCGGCAACAATCAGCCGTGTTTACATGCGGTTTCGAGCATTCAAAATGGTGCCACCAATTGAGACTGCCGCCGACTGTGAAATGCGCACTGTAATTAGTTTTTTAAGTGCTAAAAGTGTAACAGCCATTGAAATTCATCAAAATATTAGTGAAGTGTATGGCGAGAACATTATGAGTGACGGAATGGTACGCAAGTGGGTAAGGGCATTTAAAGACGGCCCCACCAACGTTCATGATGAGCAACGCACTGAGTGCCGTCATTACTGTCCCCAGTACCCAGTGCTTTGAGAGACCAAGTCCAAGTCCAAGTCTATATGACAGACCCTATTGGATTCCTTGTGTTTTGTTTTGCTGAATAGTTTTGTTTTAGGTTTGTTATGTTATGTTATGTTGATGTTCAATAATGTTACAATTTCCATATTTCTATGGGAAACAGTTAATAGTTTCAGTTATCAGAATTTGACCAAGTGTTTAACTGGTTGGCACAATGAGAAAATTAGTTTTTGCATCCTACCAACAATCCTATCTTAAAAAGGAGGTTTATCATGGTGGCTATCCATTGCAAACTCTTGATCTTAATATACTGTAAAATAATGTAAAGTATGTAGGAAGTATAAGGGAGGAAGTACAAAACATTTTGTACTTAAATAATCTATATTTACATCAACCAAACTAAATTATCACATTGAATGTCTATGCCTTCAACTTGTAGTTAACCAGAAAATTAGTTAACAAGTTTAAAAGAACAAATTATTAATGCAGTTCACTATTTTCAAGTAGACAAGCTCAACTGCTTTTTGCTTTTTTGAAATACTTATTAATCATATACGCCAATGTATAATACACCATGACAAGAGATATTGAATAAAATGTTGAGTAGGTGATTTGAATGTGAAGTTGTGAAGACGGGTCGAAGAGCACAAAAAGAGTTGTGATTCCACAGGGTATTACTCTGATAAGAGTAAAAAATATTACAAAACTCCATTCCACAATCTTGTAGAATCTTCCGTTTTTGTACTTTGTGAGACGTAAAATCTGACGAACTTGTAACAACGGGTTGGTGCTTTCCAACATGAGTATTCCAACCATCTGCAAATTATATCATTGTGTTATTCAGCGATGTATATTGTATGATAGGAAATCTAGGTGAGTTTAAACTAGTATCATTTCTTAGCGATATGCGATATTTGATGTCTGAGGAGGTCAAGGTCAGATCCTTAAGTGTTGTGAAAATGAGTTCTACACCATTGAGGCATGACATGTATAAGACTCCACAAAAGGTACTGTCTAAAGAATCAGCCTATCTTATTCAGTAAGAAAGCTACACTGATCATCTCATTTTTGTACTCTGCACTTTGCATTTATAGTAGGCTTAAAATAAAATACAGTGGGTGAGTTTCTAAACAGAGGCATAACAAAATAAAAATCCCCGATCTAAGTCTTAGCTTATTCCCCAAATGAGAAATTTGCTGATAGTTTTTTTTAAAAGTTAAAAATTGGGAAGCGTTTTGGGGTTTTGATTTTTTTTACTGCTAAGTTAGTTGTTACAGCAAGTCCTCTGTTTAATACTTTTCTATTAAATACCATAGTTTTAGGCAAATTTATTGGATTCCTTGTGATATGTTAAATAGCTTTAGTTTTAGATATGTTGATGAATATGTCACCATAACCATCAGGCCCGGACTTAGGGCTTTAGGGGGCCCGGGAAAATTTGCCAACGGGGCCCCAGTATGAATATACTCATATTATAAACTTAATATAATGGGTCTTAAAAAAACACTGTTTTTCACTCTTATAAGCAATAATGTGATAATTTAAGCAAAATAATATTTCAACCTATTAGAATATCAGTATGCTGCATTTTGTATAATGTAGTTTTATATAATATATTAACTGTCAAAATGTGTTTAATTCACAAAATTCAGGTAAGAAATCAAATTAAACCCGCTGATCGCCCTAAGTGTACAGATTTTGCCAGTTTTAAGATTTTTTTTGCTCATTATAAGATTGATGACAATATGAATTCCATATTTTTTAGAAATTCATCAAAGCAGGTAAAAAAAGAATAAAAAAGTATAAAAGACTGGGACGGGTGGCGTCGTCCTGTAATCCAGCTACTAGGAGGTCACGAATTGTGGATATTTATAGGGATGCACTGTGGATGCAATGCTCCCTGGTGTGGATTAACGTCCGCACTAGTGAGTACTACGACTATCCACAGTACTATCCTGATAGTTAATTAGACTAATTCGTAAATTAGCAGGAAAAAATGTGGTTCGGATTCCACTATAAACTGTAGGTCCCTTAGTTGCCATTAGCTGTATGGGCTATTAATTAACAGCTGTGTCTAAGGAACATGTGGGCCTTAGTCACTAACAAGATTACAAGATTGCGCCACTCATCCTACACTCATCCTTCCCTCATATTTGGGTTAAAATACGCACATATTGGCGTTCCCATCTTAAATAATTGATAATTGATAATTGATAAAAAACTTTGACGTAAATTTTCAAATTAGGCTATCTTTAAAAGTCCCCAAGCAAGGGGCTGTTCAAAATCCTGGTATTCTTTTTCGGATACTCTGTATTTATCAAACCATCTAGCTAAGTTGTCATGTGCATTTAATGATACAGACTTACCATTTCAGCACCTCCTTCCTGGATCAGAAGAGCTGTGCCAAGTACAAGGACGGAAGCGTAATGATGAGCCACCATCAGAGATGGCTCTTTCTTGACTACTGAGGCGAGCGCACACTCCAGCATGAAGAATCCCAGGGACCAAATCAGGACAAGGTTGTGCAGAGGAATATTATCCTCACCTTTAAACAGTTAAATCTTGTTAGGCAACTAGTAACATTGGAACGGCTGTGACACCCCTTGACACAGTCCATCCAGAAATTCAGGCCATCAACATCGCAGGGAGTATTAAGGTTTAAGGCATGAAAACATTTGGAGTTGATCTGTTTAATATTTCTCAAAAGTAGCATGGGTGTCTACAAAGAGATATGGTCAGTTGGGCTATGCCCCCTGAGAAAAACTAAAGTGTTCACAAATTTCTAAAGAGATTGTAAGATAACTCCAGCGGTTGGATAACCAATAAATAATGATTTAAAGGAGTATTTTACACAAAGTTGTTTGTGGAGGAGGGCTTTTTCCTCCAACCCATAGAAGAGGATACCGAAGGTTTGCCCCCCTTAAAGAAATTTCCTTCGGGGGCTCAAACAATGAAAAATAGTAGTACCTATTTGAGAATATTTTCTTCTTAACAAAACATGCAATATGAGGAGCAATATTAATCGTAGGGCTATATTAAGACATATTTAAAACCTATTTGTCTTAATAATGGTATTATTATACTGGATCATGGTATCAGGTATCACCAAAGACCAAATAAAATATTACTTGTTGTCAGAAAGATTTGTTCTATACATCAACCTGCAGCTGTTTCATTCTGCAAAAAAACAAAACAGAACAAATCTTAATTTTAGAGTGTCTAGCTAATAGCTATTGAAAAATCCTTCATGGAAGAGTCAGTCAAAAGTTACAAACCAACCATACAAAACACAGGACACAACAAATACATGAGACGTAACATTTCAAGCAAGCTGTCGAGGCTGGTATAATCATGAAATTATGAGATACGGGACTGTTGAATTAAAGTCATATGTGATGAACGCCATCATTAGGGATTTTTCAGAATCCAGACATTCTGACCCGAGAAGATTGTGGATGTGCCCCACTTTTCGCAACACGAAACAGCAGTAGGCAAGACTTTTTGAAATAGAAATTCCCTAAAACTTTATAAAACATCAAATTCACTCACCAATCTCTATGAAGGGATGTGGACGATGCTCGGTGGCAATCATAGTGAAGATGATAGCCCCTACGGCATGCAGAGCTCGCATACAGCAAGACAAACATTCCAACAGAAACTGACTGCCATTTGCTGCCAAGCTGCAGAAGTAGTACACCAGGCACCAGCACAGGAATGATGTTAAAGCCCAAGCAACTGCTGCGGCTACTGAGATATGCTCCGGACTCAGGATGTCTAGAGGTAGCATCTTTCTGGAGGCCAATCACTGTAAACGTTTATTTTTGTCACATTCAAACTCTCAAATAATAATAATAAAATTCTAGTAACCAGAATAATTTTGTACAATGCATCAAATACAGCTGTTTTCAATACATCAGTGATGTGTCAAAACCAATGATCAAATCTTCAAACCAACAAAATGTTGGACTGTGGTCTTGAAACTGCTGACATATTTTGTCATTATTTACTTATTTCAACCTTAACCTTAACCTTTAACCTTATTTCAAATAAGCTCTGCATCGGTGGGGCACACGGGAGGGACTAAGGCTAACATATCTTGTAGTGTCAGCGTTCGCCGCTAGAACTGCTAAGTTGAAAAAATTGAATTTTTTTTAAATTTTAGTCATAAAATTAACTTTTTAACTATAAAATATTGTTTTAAAATTATTAAATTAATTTTTAATTTTTAAAATTAAACTGTCATAACATAACCTAACCAACCAGACTTGCTGATAATAACAAAAACTATATAAGATACAAATCTAATTAATGATTACAGTACTTTTAATTTTTAATTAATTATAAAATTAATTTTAAAATTTAGTATTATAAAATTAAACTGTTATAACCTAACCTAACCAACCAAACTTGCTGATATGAAAAATTTGTTGACAAAAAGTTAGTGTTGCCGGCGGGTTTCGAACCCCGGACCTCCTGAACACCAATCCGAAACGCTACCAACTATGCCACGAACGCCGCTGAAATCACATCGTTTCGTTACGGTAATCGTGTCGCCTCAAGAGAAGACATTAACCACTAGAGATATGACGTCACTACACCTTTAGCCTTAGTCCCTTCCGTGTGCCCATTCCAGCTCCGCATTATCTGAGGTTTGCAGTTTCCGAATTAGAAATGACTATATAACACTAGTGTACAATAGTACAATAGTAGTAATGTGTGTAGTGGTAGTGTGTGTATGGTGGTGTGTGTAGTGTAGTGTAGTGTGTGTGTAATGCTAATATACAGGCATACATACTTTATTAATTTTATTTTGTAAATAAAAAAAGTTGTATTAGCTGTAATCCTATATTCTGGATACGAGCTATGTCTGTCCGTTACATCTCTGTCAGAAAGATAAAAATATTGGCATAAATAGGTACATAAATAGGTTCTAATCACATTAAGGTTACAGTTTCAGCACCTAATTTTTAACAAATCAAGCACTGGGACTGTAGATATATATAAATTATATATATCCGACATCCGTAAATGTGATAACTTGAGTAATTTCTGTCCGATTTTGATAAAATTTTATTTAAAGGTGTAATGCGGGATGAACTTGAATTAGTTTGCAAACCAGCATAATCGGACCATGGGAACGGGGAAAAATTTCTTTTTCTCATTTTGACCCTCAAAACACAAAATTTCCCAATTTCTCTTTAGACCTTTTACAAGAGCGTAAAAAAAGTATATTAAGGTGTTTTTGTACTGTTATGGTAATTGGAGAAAATAAAAAAAATTGTAAATTTAAAATTCACATGTTATTCTTATGGAGAATTTTGTAAAATGTTGTAGTTTGCTTTTTTATGGATACATTTTGATCAAACTTGGCAAATTTATTTATTTCATACTGAGCTATTAATACTTTACTAAAAACACACTTTATTAGTTTCCTTTTAGCAGCAAACCTAAAATAGGTACTCGTTAAACCTAATGTTATTTAAATAGATTTAATTGAAAACCAATTCAGACAAATAGAAATTTGCTTAGTTGGCAGGTTTGCTGCGGGGGACTCTTATCAAAAACCTAATTTAACAACCCTAGTGGAAGAGATCAATATATATCAATACAAAAATTGTATATTGATACGTATTGATACGTATGTGTATTTGGGCCAATACACATCAATACACATCAATACATATCAATACAAGTAAATAGGATCCGAGTCATTAGCTTATTTGAAAATAATTTGTATCTTGTTAAAAAACCATTTTTAATTTGTTTCAAAACATTAAATAATATCAACTATGCACTAAAAATAAAATAAAAATTAAAAAGTAAAAAAAATCTTGACAAAAAGTTTAGAGGATTCCCGAGATTTGAACCCGGGACTCCAGCATGGAAGCCTGTTGCCTTAGCCATTACACCACGGACGTTTCATGTCTGCCTGAGTAATGATAGCCATTTTGAATACGTCCATGTCACTGGCCCGGCCATGACGGAATTAGTACATAAGAATTATGCTAATATTTAGTACCTATTTCGTACTATTTAGTACCAACAAACAAAAAATTAGTACCCCACTCGGTACCGGATAACTAATTAATTTAGGATTCCGGGCCAGTGACATGCTGGCCCGGCCATTTTCGAATTTGATCCTAATATGTATACCATCATTTAGTACCTATTTCGTACTATTTTGTACCTCCATTAATATAATTTGTACCTCAAAGAAAACCAAGCTACGGGCCCATTAACTGTACAGGTCAATGACCTCTCAGCCCGGCCATATCGTAACCTATGGTTATAAAATATACTACTATTTAGTACTTATTTCGTACCCGAGTGGGGTACTAATTTTTTGTTTGTTGGTACTAAATAGTACGAAATAGGTACTAAATATTAGCATAATTCTTATGTACTAATTCCGTCATGGCCGGGCCAGTGACATGGACGTATTTTGAATGCGAGAAGCTGTGTTAGGCCTCATAATTTAACTTGAAAAAGATTTTCAATGGCATTTGTGTCATTTCAAGCATGTACCTATATGTTTCAACATGTACCTTTAACATGTTTCAAAACTGTTTTATTACCAGTTCAAACTGTTTTCTTGCTACTTGGGTGATATGAATAGTGCCAATACAATTTATTTTTTATTGATTTCTAGAAATAAGGAATTCAATAATGAATTTGTGAGGGATTTTTATCCCTAACGATAACTCAATAAGCAAAATATTGTTTAAAGTTGTCGAAAGCTGTATTACAATAATTGTTGTATAACAATTTTCAAACATTTTGATTTAAAATTCATATTACAACAATTTTGATATAAGATTTAAACAATTTTAAAATTGTTTAACAATAAGTTTTTTGGAGTTGAAAAGAATAAGTTTCAATACGAGCTGTAACTGTTTTACAACAATTTTAAAATTGTTTTACAACCACTTTTTTGAAGTTTAAGAAAATCAGTTTTAATACAAGTTGTAAACTGTTTTACAACAATTTTAATGTTTTAGCAATCAGTTTTTGGCAGTTTAAAAATAAAATTTAATAAAAATTTAATAAAAGTTGTACCGTAACTGTTTTACAACAATTTTAAAATTATATATTTTTAAATTACCTATATTGAGTTTTAGGTACCTCAGCTAACACCTATGACCTAGAACTAGAGTTTTTCCTTTTTTTAAAAAATAACATTTTTATTACTGTTTATTTCACAAAGTTTACATTGGTATTTTGTATACCGTAATCCATAATGTTCATATGTGATACATTTTAGAAATATTTTGCATTTTATTTATCCGTATTGATGTCTATTGATTTATATTTACATCTAACATATTTAAAAAATATTCCCTATTGATATCAATGAACGATTTGTTTGCTCTAATGATCTATATTGATATATTTTATGTTTATAGATGTCTAGTGATATGTATTGACTAAGTTTTCAGTGATGTCTATTTGTTTGTATTTACTTGTAATGATATCCATAAACATCTATTGATATCACTAGATTTTCTATTGATTTCTATTGATGTCTTCCACTAGGGAAATTCACAAACTCAAACTAACCTTTCTTAACAATCACTCATTCTTGAGGAATTTGAAAGAGAAAATAAGTTAAGTATGTTAAGTGAACACTTAATAAATAGTTCATGAACACACCACATTTATCTGTCAATACTTATAACAAATCACTTCAGCATCAGCACAAGCACTAATAACAACACTAGACTTTTCAAGCAGCTCAAAAGACAAAGTCAAAAGTAAACACCTTTGCAATGCAAAGTTTGCAAATGCAACTAACTGTTGAAACTATTATCCAATAGTCAATGCTATTATCTATAACCTCGTCCAAGAAAGAAATACAGTCAAGGTACTACACAAAAATAGCTGTTACCCCCAGGAACTGTTCCAAGGCCATCTGCACATGGTAAATAAATAACAACAATATTACGATGGGGATTATTGGGGAGGCCTTAGGTGCCCATGGGTACACAATGTCGAGTGAAACTTTCCACATGTAAACATTTCTCTAATGTGCAGCAAAGTGCCACTTTGCGCACTAGTTACACAAATAATTATTCCCATGTTGAATTTCTTGTCAGGCTAGACAACAAAGTCTTTGGACTGGCAGTGGTAGAAAGCTGAAAAAGAGGTCAAAATTCTTGTTTGCCCTACAATGTACCTACTGTCCTATTGCTCTTTAAAAAGATGCAGCTCTTTATTAGCTTTTAAACTCAAAATTTTAAAATAACAGCTTTTGAAAATGTTACGAGATTTTCTAACTTGTTTACTATCAAACTTATCCAAAATATTTCAAAATGCAAAGTCCTTACTCATTGTCAAATAAATCTGAAAGAATCAAGCTCACCATTACAGGAAAACCTAAATATTTTCACAACTAATTAAAGTGACAGAGGGGTTTTTTTTAATAAAGGGACCATGTTTCGATGTTTCTATACTACATACAGTCATATGGCCCATCCACCATTTGGAAAGTATCAATAGTTATTTGTGTAACTAGTGAGCGAAGTCATAGACAAAAAGAATTAAATATAGACTGTCAGCCGTGCTGCGGTTACCATAGTTACTATAGGTTCCGGCGCACACCGCTGTAGTTTACGTAGCGTGTACGCCGTAAATACATGGCGCTCCAAGCGGTGTGCGCCAGAAGCTATGGTAACCGTAGCACAGCTGACTGTCTATATTTAATTCTTTTTGTCTATGGCGAAGTGGCACTTTGCTGCACACGAGAGAAAGTTTCTCGAGTGCAGCAAAGGCAGTTTGCACTCATGTTACACATTATATTTTTCCTACAGTTAATAAATCATTAAGTCATATAAATAATTATCTTTCAAACACTGTACAACACGTTTTTAGGTTAGGTTAAATCCAAACATTGAACGAAATGGGAAACACTGCACTAGCTGATCGTAGTCGTAATATCTTTAAGTGTTGCAAACTTATTTTCAAGCGTACACAGATTACGTGCATAATAAAAGCACGCTGTTTTGTTAGATTACTGGTGTGCGCCTAAGTAAAAACCGTCCGCCTAAGTAAAAAAGGTGCGCCAAAAGTGAGGCTTTCTGTACTATAATCTGTGCAAGGAAGCCCATCAATTTGTCGGGTGACTGCAGGAAATATTAATTAGGCTATAGAAACCATTGTAATACATAACAAATTATAAACTACCAATTTAATTTGACTATGCAACAATTTTATTGGCTGCTGTTTATAATTGCAAGCTTTTTTTAATATTAGCAGATAAACAATAGTAGTAAACGATGATATTACATTGAAAATATAATATGTGTCTGGCCAAACTCATATTCCACCATGGATTAAACACATATTTTTATGGACAGGTTGTACACATAGGGCAGGTGAATTTCAAAGGGATTTTTCCATAATGTTTTTTGATGGAGTCTATTAGGATTCTGCGTATAAAGTATTGTTTATCATCTCTTCTGGTATTATGAGTAAAGAGCTTTACTTATTTACTCACCTTTGGCCTAGTTTAAAAGATCAGTCTTGAAACTCAGAATAAGTATTTATTACACAAACAGCCAAATGCAACTCAAGTACCATACTACAATCAGTTAGCCTACTACACTCCACATAATTGATCAATTATTAACGGCTGGCAAATTAGTAGGTATACTTCCAGTTATTTGTACATAAAATCATCTGATATGAATCATAACAAATATAAAATATCAATCGTAACAGGATGAAATTAATAAAATTTTGAGTTACATTTACATACCTGAAGAATGTCCAACTGGTAATGGCCAACGAAATTTGATTAACACATTTTGTCCCAATGTAAAAACTTACTGTGTTCCAACAAAACAATTCAGAAGGCTTTTACAATATAATTGAGTTTTCAAGACATTTGACACTACAAGCCAACACGTACCCAATGTCAGGACTCGCACTTATAATCCTGATGTCCCAATATGAAAATGTGCCTGGCTACCTTGAATAATAATGAATATGGTATTATCATTATGCATAGGCTGATTAACATCTGGATAATCGTTTTGCTATATTTTAGTTAGTAACTATAATTTTAATACTGCCTTGATGTAGTTCTAGATGGATGTGAAAACCTTAAATTTCTCTTCAGTATTGAGGGCATGCCAGTCAAAGTTTTAAACGTCGTGCTATAAGTTGACTTAACAGAACAAGAATCATTTTATTATGTAGCATCGTTGGCATCAGTTTTCTGATTCTACACCTCTTGGAATCGAAGATGCGACCTTCAAATTTAGAGGCAAACACAAAAACCACTCGGTCAAACAAAACAATTAAATTAATTATACCTATGGTTGGGTAGCTGAGTGGTTATAGTGCTTGCAAAGATTGACAGAGTGGAAATCATTAGGAATTGCCTCTCATTAGCCTACATGAAACTCAAAAGAGTAAATAATTATTACTAATAATCTAGAACTGTGCTACCATTTAAAACAACTATTACTGTACGTAAAGCCACAATTGCCGCAATCGCAACGTTAAAAATTTCACATCTCGAAGTTGCAAAGCAGAATTTTACCAACATAACAGAATAAAAACATTTTTTGTCATAAAACATACCCACTTTTCAATTTAAAAAAATGGGAAAAGGTTTGTTAAAGAAAACAATAATTTAAAAAACAAAACTTTAATCATATAAGACAAATTATTACTGTTAAAAATCTACAACAAATTATCAGTCTATTGTTTGTAATTCCTAAATAAATGGAATCTTCGACATCATTGTTAAAACACAAGATGAGGCTATAAAAGTAACATGGGTTGTGTTTAAAATCAAAACGAGATTTAACTTAGTTATTTAACTTGAGACACAAAATTACACGACTTAAAATTACATTATGTTTATTCACGTACTTGTAACAATGTAACAAAATAATTTACACATAATTTAGACGGAAGACAAACCAAACACAGATTACTGGGAAGAGCTTGCAGAGGCGGCATCGTATTGTGATTTGTTTTTCAGCAGATAAGCAGAAAGGTAGCTGATCGGGTCGTCAGGCCTGAAAAATAAATCAACATGTTATTAACTAATTTTTTAACTTAGGCAAAAAATAAAATGGACTAGCAGCCAGCGTCACTTAGTGTCTTCAAAATCTGTGATATAATCGATTATTTCGAGATAAGATCGAGTGTGTTCACTCCCATAAGCCACAATGCCCCGCGACTAGTTTTACGTGCAACGCCCGTGGGATGTTAGTAGAGAATACACGTGCAATTCCGTTGACAAACGCGTTCACGGACGTTTTTACTCTAGTATATGGCCTGCCCCATATACCGTAATGTATCTCTCAAACCCTCGGGTAACGCCCGTGGAAAAAATTCAGCGAGATAAGATGAGTGTGGCCCCGGCCTATGACTCCTGCTCTTTATTTGGACTGTGAAGTCGTGTGGCTTGTGGTAGGTATACCCAGTTTAAAAAGCAATCCCCGACTGCCCTATGACTCCTGCTCTTAATTCGGACCGTGAAGACGTGTGGCTTGTAATAGGTATACCCAGTTTTACTCACCTTTATGTCTTATTATGTTTCCCCCCTGATGTATTGTGTTGGTTTACAAAGTAACTAACAACACCCACTTTGATAAATAAGTGACATACCTCTCCTTGGAGAGAGCCGAGAGGGCCTGGAGCAGTATTGGCACCACTGTCTGGTCGAGGTATTGTCGTGTTGGTAGAGACTTGAGGTCCACTCGTGACTTCTTAGCTGTCCCTCCGTCAGGCGCCTCACGCTCTCTCTCCGCTGATATCACCTTCTGTCAGTTAAATCGGACAATAAGATAAAACACTTTGTAAAACAAACTAAGAGGAGACAAAAATTATACACTAGGTCCTGCAATTTTATAATACCATACACATCCCATCATGATCCCTACACTACAGTGGCAGAATGATTTTTAAGACTTTGAATATTGGTAGACCTATCGACAGCACTGTAGACCGCTTGACCATTAATCAGAATTAACCAATAACCATAATAATATACCTAACATCATAGCCATTGTTCTAGGCTTGTCTAAAAGGTTCGTGTAGCCTACATGCTACTCCGTTAAGTCTCATAAATTGTAGGCCTTCTTAAAGGTGTTATTGTGCTTTCACAGTCACACTTGCCAACAAACAAGGCACAAACATCTACAGAGCAGTAAACATAATGCTTGGGAGTTTAGCATAATTATTTTAACCAATACTCTACAAGCTTAGATTAAGGACTTGCAGTGGATGAGAACAATCTAAATTCATTCCAGGTAGCAATTTTGCAAAGTCTTTAGATATGACACTTTCACACCTGTAGTGGAATCCAGACTAACTTATCCTGACAGTTTACTCCTGTAAGCTCTTGTCAATCTACTCTCACATAGCCGACACCAGTAGTAGTGCTCTGTTACTTCTCTAAAGATGCTATCAGCAACAAGGCTGGAATATCAGCCAATGTTACCTGTAGGACTAATATTAGGCTAAATGGTATTATTCATAACACCCAAATATTAATTAAGTGATGTCACCTACCTACCTTTGATACCTATATCAACTTTAGCATGTTTAGCCTCTGGATCACGTAATTTACTAATAAAAAGGTTAAATACCTGTAGTACTGTCAGTGATCCTGGAATTTAGGTCAGCGACCCAGGTTTCGAACCTAAAGGTTCATTTTCAAGCAGGTACCAGTTAAAGAGGATTATGTGATTATGAAGAGGATTATGTGTTTTTAACTGGTACCTGCTTGAAAATGAACCTTTAGGTTCGAAACCTGGGTCGCTGACCTAAATTCCAGGATCACTGACAGTACTACAGGTATTTAACCTTTTTATTACTATATCAACTGTTAGAGCTCAGGGGTTAAAAAGAATAACATAATCACTATATTTGAAAGGGTACATAATTCTCAAACTAAGAAGCAGTGACTTACATGGAGGGCATCAGAAATGCCATTAGTTCCGGCAACACCTCCAGCAGTCTGACTGGTTGTTTCTGCGTCTCCACTACCAACATCAGCTGGAAAAAGTAAATAACTTTCTTAACTATCAATACAGTAAAAAAAAAACAAAACAACAACAAAAAACAAAGGCCCAAGGGCCCAACAAACAAATAAGACTAAACACTTTTTGTATCAATAAATTAGAATATTTAAAAGAATATTTTTAGAAACGTTTGAGGAAAACTGACAAGCCTAAACCAAGACTACTTCAACATTCACATTTAGGCTAGCCTATATAATTCAATGGTACAACTACTGCCAGCAGTAACATCTTAGGACTCCAAATAACAGTAGAAACCCTCATCAGGCCTCGCTTTTACCGCACCTACCCCAAAACAGTTCAGTTCAAAGTTTTTATCGCTCCTAGATTTGTCTGGGCACTTTTCAGAAGCCAATATCGAAATATAATTCCCGCTGATAACAGACTTGTAGGCTTAGCTGCACACACTAAGTTAAACTTAGTCTCCATGACTTGAGCACTCTATTATCATCTAGGCCTAACTTATACGTTTGTTTAGATTTTACTGAGTTTACTATTCAGTTTAAAAAGCACAAGTAGGCCTAGGCCAAACCTCTGAACATTAGTCCTAGATGGATTAATCCAGTGCAGTGAGTACAGTACAGTAACTTAATTGTTTTGTTTGCGGCTCTGAAAAGCACCTAAGATAATATTATAGGCCTATGAGATAAAATATTAGTTTACTATAAGTTAAGCCTTTAACTTAACCATAGATAAATAGAATAAATATAGACTGTCAAAGGAACGTTCCGGCGCCCACCGCTAGGAGTGCCTTGTAGTTACAGCGCACAACGTTGCAGGCGAGGAGAGCAAGAGCCGTATGCTACCAGCAGACGCTGCAGCATTGTGCGTATAGGCTAAAATGAAGTCTCAACTAAATGAGTAGGCGTAATACCCTAATCAAAATCTCTTTTTGTTGTATTTCTTTTATCCTTTCTTCCCTTTTGACACTAAAAGCACTCCTTGTAATTTCTCCTCTTGTAATAAATCCATAGTGGCATCAGTCTTATATAAAACGGGAACATCAAATAAGTTAGTCATAGGTATACTTCACTAACAGACACAACTAAAACGGTCACCTCTAACACTGAAGAGCGCATGAGGAAATAAACTCCACAGTAAGGACTCACACGATCGTATGCACGTGGAGAAAACCTCTGCAAACTGACACCGCGTCACTGAATTGCAACTGACAACATAAGTTAATAAGGAGGAATTTTGGGGTAAAAATAGCTTAGGGGCATTCCCGGGATGAGGTGCATGAAGTATGGAGCCGGACACGACTACTGACACCCATTAACTTTAAAAGTGTTAGCATAATTATTTTAACAAAAACTACAAATGTGGAGAAAAACTCGGCTGCACTTTACTTGACGTCCTACACTCATTCGAATGAAAATATCGATCGATATATCGATTAATCGATTGCTTCATTCGATATATCGTTTGGTTAGTTAGGTAAGGTTAACCTAACCTAATTAACCAAACGGTATATCGAATGAAACAACCGAATGAAAATATCGAATCGAAAAAACAATCGAATGAGTGTAGGACGTCAAGTAAAGTGCAGCCAAAAACTCCACAAGCGCCCACTCGAGGGTTAAGTTAGGTTTGTTTAGTTTAGTTCAGTTTGGCTTAGTTTAATTTACGATAATAACAAAAAAAGTTGATTTGTTGTGTAGGCTCAGTTTGTTTATGCGATAAATTTACAAAAAAAAATGTATGTTACAGTGTAGGATATAATTGAGTTAGGCTGTGTTAACACTAAGCAATTATATACAAGAGTACCTTAGGCCTAGGCTATATAGCTTACAGTATCCATTCTGTATCTATCCATCAAACTTATAAATGCAGGATCTAAGAACTGAACCGGTAAAAAATTAATTTACCACAGCAAACTTGTGATAATGTTAGGCCTATCTATTTTAATTTTTTTATGAATAGAAACATATATTTTAACTTACTTGAAGACATTGTATTGTTTCCTTGCTTTTGCCTCTAATTAAATCGTTATTCACTTAAAATATTCAAATTAGTAATGTATTTTTTTGATTAATTTGATCTAAAGCAACCTCATTAGAAGTAAACAAAAATGGCGAATTGAAGAAGACGGTAAAACAAAAATAAAGGGAAGGCAAACGAAAGAAAAAATATCAGCAGACCAATTTTTAATAAACAGCTGTTAGTTTTAAACTTTTAGCGGCTGCTTTGCAAGCACCTTCAAAGTAGCGTTTCAAAGACCTAGATCAAGTAAACATGTTTCATCTATGATCATAGCCTCCTCTGATTCATACTATTATGTAGTATGCCCTATTATGATGATAACGGTATGATCATGTTAACATATATATTATAACTGTACAGTATAACTGTGATATTGTCTAGCAATAGCCAAATTATTAAGCTTTCTGGTTCGATTCCAAGAAAATTTTAAAACATTTTAACGGCCATAAACAAGGTCTATCCTATAGAGCCACACAGAGAGAGAGAGAGAGTATAGAGCTTAGTAGAGATTTATGTTGCTTGTGATTTTGGGTAAAGATTTATTAAAAATAACTAGCCTAGCCTAATAACTTGCCATTAGTGTGTACCATCCCACCATGGACTAACCAACACAAGTAGACTTCTCATCCCAATGTAAATAAATCTGAAGCTCATTCGTTTCTCGTGTCTATTTCATTTCCGGTGACATTGATCGCTAGTGTCGAGAAAATTGTGATTATATTATTTTAGGTTTAATTTCATGATTTTTTCTTTACTGTTTGGTTATAAAAATAACTAGGGGACGAGTTAAGTTTTATGACTAGATCGTTTAATTTATGGTTTAACGAGGTTTTTAATTACTGAAATAACAAGAAACAAATTGTAAACAAAACACGAACTCCACAGTGCACCGAACAGAACTAACAATACAATTGGCTTCAGCTGTTCCACAAGGATGATAAATCTACTAAGGGCCTATATGTTTTATCTATGGTACCACTAATGATAGTATATATATAACAAACTCTCTTAGATGTCATAACCCTTTTTAGGGCTTAGGGGTCGCCGTCAAGACCCCTATTTGGTAATAGTGTGTTGGTGGCAACCAAAACTCTCTGCTCTGTGGTGGCAACCCCGACAACCCGCCGCTCCCACCAACACCAGTTTTTATGAAAGGTGGTAGCTCGGGGTGGTGGATTGTTTTGTACCCTTCCGTCAACCCTCCACTATGCTTTCTGGCCACGCCACCCTGACAAACTGCCCCATTTTTCTCGTCAAAGGTGTCAGGTGCTTACCCACCGGAAACACACTCGTCACTAGGCACACTGGCGACAGTATACCACCTCGACAACTCGCCACCATTTGACGTCCCTCCAATACACATCCATCCATGCTCCAATCCAAACACCATCCCGACAAAGAGCCCAAAGAGCTATTCCGAAGGTGCAGACAATTATAAGGTGCCACCAATCAGTGCACAAATAAGTTCTGCGAGGAAGGTTAAGATCCGCACCGAAAATGAGCCATCCTCAAATTCCTCTTTTTGTTGCTAGCTTGTCACAGTATTTGTAATCTGTAAAGTACATTGTAATATAGGGGTGAAGTAAATATGGACCAGGAGAACAGGGAATTGTGGGATTTTAAGCCATGAGCCAAGCCAACAGCCAAGTGAGCTGGATTCTTATAGTTGGTAACAAAATGTCAAAATGCTGAAGCCTGTCGATTTTCTAACAGAGTTGCCGTGCCATAGCTATTACCTCAGTCGGTTCCACTAATTTCATATAACTTTAATCTTTTCTCGATAAGGCTCTCTTGTTTTCTTAGGGTGTGCCCTACCATTGCAATTTACGCTCTTGAATCTGCATCTTTATTAGTGCTTATGCCTCCCATAGTTGCTCATTCATACACGGTTTCAGGACGACGTATATTCGTTACTGCGAAGACCTTAATATTAATGAAAACTTGTAGTTTGGAGGTCATTATGGTTGTTGCCTTTCATTCGTGTCTCACTCGCATACAGCAGGATGGACTTGACATTTGTATTGTAAAAATATGTGCAGTTTTTGGCCCTCTTTGAAAATATCTGCTTCATCAAACTGAGTATCGTAAAGTCGTACAAAAACAACACTTACATATTTGCATTTCTAATACAAACCTGAACGCCATTCTTAGCTCCTCCTATTGTATATATACCTATTTTACCTGCTGTCCTGCTGTATATACTTTCTATAGGTATTTGGTATTTGAAACTGTCTACCTTTTTAAAGCTCCTCTTCACCAATTCCAAAGGGGAACTGCTGCATTGTTTTTGTTTAAGAATTAACTTTATTTACACCGTTCACATTGTGTTGCCACTGGGAAGCAAGACAGATGTCATTAGTCTTGGTTCTCTAGTCGGTCATACACCTCCAATGGATCCCTTGATATTCGCCGCATACCCTCTCCAACCAGTGTTCGCTTCTCGTCAGTGCATCCAGTATAGGAAGAAAGAAGGACCTCCCAATATATCTCAAGTATGTATCTCAAGTAATATTTTGAGAATGTTAAATATATGTTCAATATTTTTTCTTTGACAGTGTGACGCATCATTATTTGAGTTCCATGCTGAATATAAATGAAGGACGAGGAATGTCGTGTTCATTTAATCCGGCCTGTTCTACACTTCTTTCAGTTTCTATGTATAAGGTTGATTTCGAAGGGAAGCGGGTTATTAGCCCACCTTTTCAAAGCCTGGCAATGGGGCAGCCACTTAGGTATACCTATAACTATAACAACAGGCTACACGTCTGTCAGGGCGTTGAAATATACAGGGTGGCTGAAAAGTAACTTGCACCCCCACTTAACTTTTCAACCATTTGAGATATTTGAAATCGGTTTGCGGCAACCTTCTTAGATATGAGGGGCTACAATAATTATGGTCAATTTTGAAAATTTTGCCCTTAGGGGTAGTGGGGGTAGGGGGCAGCTCAAAATTTTTAAACGACAAGTATAGTCGAGTTTGGTATCATTTTACAGGTCTTGACAAAACATGAACATTGGAATAAAAAAAACCAAAATCGGCTCACTAATAACAAAATGGTGCCCTAAAACGTTTCAAATCCAAATAACCATGAGGGTGGCAAAACAATTAACTTGCACCCTCTTTAACTTTTTAACTATTTGAGATATTTGAAATCGGTTTGCGGCAACTTCTTTGGAAATAAAGGGTTACAAAAATTATGGTCAGTTTTGAAAATTTTGCCCTTAGGGGTAGTGGTAGTAGGGGGTAGCTCAAAAATTTCAAACAGCAACTATAGTCGAGTTTGGTATCATTTTGTAGGTATTGACGAACCATAACAATTAACATAAAGAAAATAGAAATCGGACCATTAATAACAAAATGGCAGCTCAAAACTACTTTAAATAACCATTGTCTCAATCATTTTTAGCTGCCATTTTGTTATTAATGGTCCGATTTATATTTTCTTTATGTTAATTGTTATGGTTTGTCAAGACCTACAAAATGATATCAAACTCGACTATAGTTGCTATTTGAAAATATTGAGCTACCCCCTACCCCCGCTACCCCTAAGGGCAAAATTTTTAAAACTGTCCATAATTTTTGTAACCCTCCATTTCCAAAGAAGTTGCCTTAAACTGATTTCAAATATCTCAAATAGTTAAAAAGTTAAAGAGGGTGCAAGTTAATTTTTTTGCCACCCTCTTGGTTATTTGGATTTGAAACGTTTTAGGGCGCCATTTTGTTATTAGTGAGCCGATTTTGGTTTTCTTTATGTCAATGTTCGTGTTTCGTCAAGACCTGTAAAATGATACCAAACTCGACTATACTTGTCATTTAAAAATTTAGAGCTACCCCCTACCACCACTACCCCTAAGGGCAAAATTTTCAAAATTGACCATGATTATTGTAGCCCCTCATATCTAAGAAGGTTGCCGCAAACCGATTTCAACTATCTCAAATGGTTGAAAAGTTAAATTGGGGTGCAAGTTACTTTTCAGCCACCCTGTATAACTACATGATCGTGGCCCCTGCTATATTCACCCGTTACAGGAGGGCTGTTTCTTCTGCCGCCAGGACAGTGTTGTACCAGAGCCCATTTCCTCTGCCACCACTGATGTTGAGATCTTCACCATAACCCTTGCAGGGAGGCCTGTAACTGGGTGCTACCACCAGGGACAAGGAGGACCCAGGTTTTTCAACGAGGTTACTCCTCCTTCTCCTCCTCATGGCTCGAGTCCTCAGCTTCTCACCGGCATGGCAGAGCTTAAAGTTTATACATAATATTATTGATTCCGTACCTTCAACCAGCTTTCACCCCCTATTTGTAATCTCGCTGAGACAGAGTTTGAATTTAACTGCAAGGTTCTAAAATATCGTTTTAAGACTGCAAGATGTGATTTCCTTTAATTTAAAATAATTATTAAATAGTTAAATATTATTTGTGTCCTAAATTTTATGAAAGTTATGAGAATAAGATGTAAATGAGAATCGTTGCAATGTATTCTGATTAGTGATTGTGAACAACATACTGAAATAAAACAAAAAATGTATTTAAAATGCAAATGCATGCTGTATGAATATTTATGTCTCTTTGTGCAATCAGAGCACACTGTTCTTTGTAATTAAAAATGTAGGTTTTTGCTCTGTTGCACTGTACAACAAAACAAATTTGAATTGTATCTAATTTTGACATCTATTACTATTCCCAAAGACTTTATGTCAGCACATTTCCCTCGTTAATGTATTTTACTCTAACGTATACTGAAAGTATTCCAATTACTCTTAAAAATAGTTTTCAAACGAAACAAGTGCGTTGTTCAACAGTTGCTTAGCATAAAATATAACAATCGAAGTGTGCCTGGATAAGTAAGAAGATAAATAAACTGAGGATAAAATTGATAGCAAACAGGTTCTGAATATTGCACTGCTAACCCTAGAAGTTTGAAATACGATCAGCCAAATGAGGAAAGCTGTTTCAATATAGATAATTGGTACATGTAACCTAATTCCAACAACTACTCCTGAAACTAAAGTTGGTACTAATGGTTAGGAGTTGGTAGAGTTGATCTCAGAACTGAAACAATTAAATTATACAACATTCAATGTTACTGCTGTTTTGAGTATGTTCTATATTCAAC